CCCAACGATTTCTAAATCTTCACCTGGTCCTGCCCAAACACAGGACCTCAAAATTTTCCAGGTTTGTGAGTCAATCTGGTTAGTGTCAATTTTTTTATCTTAAATTTTGTTGAGAAAATTAATACTATTCTTTAAAAATACGCTGTAATTTCTGCTCAAATTTGGAATGCTAAGAAATGTTTAAAAACGTTGGAAAAAGTTGAATTACAGTTATTAAAATAAACTTGTTTGAAAATGTCTAATAATTGTTTTTAATTTTTAGTAAATTAAAATCATTAAGGGCAATTTGAGTTACTATGATATTAAAGATAAGGCTTTTTTTTCTACAGTAATAGACATCGGAAGCTACAGCCATTCAGAGAAACGTGACTGGCGTCAGCGGGTAGCGGCGCGGCACGCCTTACCGCTAACAAGAACTACAATCCTGAGAAGAGGAAGAACCACCCTGACTCGACACGCTGCTGTTACGAGCTACCACGAGCAGGTAGCAATCATCGCCTGCTACTGGCCGCCGCCAGCTACCAAACTGCCGCTGGCTGGAAACGTGCGACAGAGGGGATTTAGAAGAACCAGGACAAAGACGTTACCCACTTGAGAAAGAGAAGAAAGAAAAATTGAATAGAGCGGATTTGACATCACTTCACGAGCTGCTTAAGAGGCGATTTTTTCGTTTCGATTCATTAATACTTTCACAACGACGTCTCATCAGAGATCATTGTCTATCGGAGAAATAAAGTTCGTTAAGAGCAAGAGAAGGCGGAAACATCGGTCACCATGGGGAGCGTAAACGTCAATCGCAATGTCAGCGATGCTTTTTATCGTTATAAGATGCCGCGGATCCAGGCAAAGGTGGAAGGCAAAGGAAATGGTATTAAAACAGTGATCGTCAACATGGTGGATGTGGCGAAGGCGATCGGTCGTCCTGCTACATATCCGACCAAGTATTTCGGTTGCGAGTTGGGCGCTCAGACACAGTTTGACTTCAAGAACGAACGCTTCATCGTCAACGGCTCACACGATGCGACAAAGTTACAAGACCTGCTGGATGGTTTCATTCGAAAATATGTTCTTTGCCCGGCCTGCGATAATCCGGAAACCGAATTAATGGTCAGTTCGAAGAAGGGCACGATTTCACAGGGTTGCAAGGCGTGTGGGCACCATGGCCTTCTTGAGAGCAATCACAAGTTGAACACATACATCTTGAAAAATCCGCCGAGCTTGAATCCAGCAGTACAGGGCAGCTCTTTGACAGAGGGTAAACGCGGCAAACGTTCGAAACGCGCTAACGGTGACGCTGCGGCTACAGTCGCCGCTACTACTGCCACCACTAACGGCAACGATCGATCTGGTTCGCCAGAAAATGACGTCAACAATTCTGGAGACATCGTGGTGGAACCACCGCCAGAAAGAACAATCAATGACGAGGGAGATGATGATAAATGGGCAGTAGATGTATCTGAGGAAGCAGTCAGAGCTCGTCTTCAAGACCTGACGGATGGTGCTAAAGGTATGACCATCAGTGATGATCTTGATAAGAGCGAAAAAGAACGCATGGACATGTTTTACAAACTGGTCAAATGCCGTCGCGATGCTGGCCAACTTGATAACAATCACAAGGAGCTCGTAGCCGAGGCGGAGCGTCTCGAGATTAAGACCAAGGCACCATTGATCCTTGCCGAACTGTTGTTCGATCAGGGAATTGCCGCACAGGCGAAAAAATACCGGGTGTTACTGCTGCGCTTCACTCACGATGACATTAAGGCACAGAAATATTTGATCAGAGGAATCGAGCAAGTGATCGCGCTGCATAAGGATGCACTGATGCCGAAAGTTCCCGGAATCCTCAAGGTGAAAGAATAAATTTTTTTTAAATTAAGAAATATTTTAAGAAATTTTATTAGAAAATTCAATTAGAAAGTATTGATACATACCGTAAGTATTAAATACTGCTATCACACCAATTATTAATTAAAATTAATAAAATTAAGTTAAAATATTTGTATATATTACAGTTATTTTACGACGCTGATATCCTAGAAGAGAAGGCATTTGATGAATGGTCAAACAAAGTCAGCAAGAAATATGTCTCAAAAGATCTGTCGCAGGAAATTCATGATCGAGCTGCACCATTTTTAACATGGTTGAAAGTTGCAGAGGAAGAGGAATCTGAATCCGAGGAAGAAGACGATGATGTAGAAGTAATATTATTGTTCATAAGTGCTTCTAAGAAAATCGTTAATTCTTTAATTCAATTTTTTCATTATTTTGTCCAATTCTTCTATTAATTTATAATTAAATGTACAATAGAAATTTTTTTTTTTTTGAAGAATTCTGAAAATAAGTCAATTAAAGTAGCTTGGTTTGAAATCTTCAAAACAATCCTCATTAAATCTAATGTCCTATAAAATTTTTTGAAAATTTTTCTTCTGCGTTCTTTATTCTAAACTATTTTTATATGTATTATATTTTTTTTATAACTTTGTGATATAAAAAGGTATATCTGACATTAAAAATTTTCCATTTTAGATCGAATACGACGATAGAGCCAAGCAGGAATCTCTGAAACAACAGCAGCCGCCGGCTACACCGAAACCTGCTGCCGCTACGACCGTCGCTGCCGCCAATAATGATTCCGAAGATGATTTCGATATTGATGCCATTTAAAGCATACGCATACACCGTATTACACGTATCATACACCCAACATATATATACACACAAACGCAACGGATGACAAGAAACACTGGTCCGAGCCGTAATATCTGAGATGAATAATCATTTTCCTCTTGAACAGAATTGTGCAAATGCAATCTCAAGTTATACGCAAATAGATATAGGATTTTTGTTGTTTTAGGCTGACGAGAGCGACACAATTAAACAATGCTGTTTACATGAATGGAGAAAAAGAAAAAAAGAAAAAGAAATTTTAATCGTTCCTAAGAGTTTAACGTGATTTATCTATATACAGTATATTTGCAATATTTTTAATTGTTTTAACGATGCAGATACGCATTTATTGAAAAGATAGTTATTTCTTTAATATTGATTGATTGTTGTGGAAACATTTTAATGGTGCGCGTATATCTTGAAATGCATCCCTTTAAAATAAAGAAGACATTCATAAAGCATTCATGAGCACCGGGAAATTGGCCTGCTAAAAACGTTCTTTATTGTATTCTAATTATTATTATTCAAATAAATATGGTTTATTGCAATGATCACCTGATGTCTCACTCTTTACACTTAATAGAAAAATAGATTACAATTATAAATGTAGCGTTAATTTAATATTAATAAGGATCAATGAAAAATTTAAATTTTTATTGATTAATTAGATGTAATAGTTTCGGTAAATGAGTTATCGAGCATATCCATATTTTTATATATTACTTGTATAAATTTGTTTTTCTTTTTAAAACAAGATACATAAAACAGAAAACATCTAAAACATTTCAATGAGTTACAAAACGTACTCATTGTGAAAGTGAGTTGACAGTAATCTATAAAGTATCTATTTGACTCAATGTTTGCGAGCATTATTTGTCCTTTAACATTTGAGAAACATCAAGGATAAAATTATTATGAGCGTTGCAAGCGTCAAGTCAATCGCATCCATAGGTTGCATCAAAAGAATCATCGAGTATGGACAAACAATTTTTTAAATTTCTAACAACATCACCTTTTGTAATTGTTTTTAACAAATATTTGTAGTTGAAAACATTTTCATTAATCTCATTTTATTGTTATCGAGCGCTAAGGTCTTATTTTTGGAAAATAGAGTTTATACTGTAGTATGCATTGAGCGCATAAAAGAATTTGAACAGGAATAAATTTTAAATATTATAAAGAAAAAAAATATCAGAAATAGAGATTAAATGTACTGCACATGGAAATAAGATAAAATATAAATATATCATATCTAAATATTTAATGTGCGTTACATTTAATCTATTTTTTCTAATTTTTTAATTTCTTTAATATTTATAATATTACAGAAACATTGTTATATAGGGTGTCAATAAATAATCGCCAAATAGGCGATTTCATAGGCAGATAGAGCGGACTGAGTTGAGAAGTCATCATTTCTTTTTCATAAAATTCTAAGAATTTTTTCAAATTTTTTTCAGAATTTTTTAATACTGTATTTTTTCATATTGATAAAAATAAGAAAATGCAATACTAGAAAGTTGATAAAAAATTCTGAAAAAATTTTTAAAGCTCTATGAAAAGAAAATAAACAATTTTTGTTTCTTGCAGTTTTTCTATAAAGTTGAGTATATTGAAGTAAAAAATTATTGAACCAATTTTCGGCAATTTTTAATAATTAATATCTCTTTAACTATTGCGAAAATTGCAAAACGGTAAAGGACTTTTCGACTTAGTTTAGTCCGCTCTACCCATGAAATATTTGGCGATTCTTTTGGGACATCCTGTATATTTATGATAATATTTATATTTAATATTTATGCACAAAACTTTATATGTATTATAGATTTTCATGTACAATATAAACTCTCGAGACTATATAGACCTAGAATAGATTCTAAATATATAAACGAATATATAAGAATGAGGCTATGTAACAACAAGAAAAGAAAAAAAACCATTCATCTGTCTAAGTGACATTTGTTCAAACGAATTTACAACTACATAACTTGCATTAAAATTATATTATAGCTATTACAAGAATCGTCTCCCTTCTCCGATGATTCACCGCAATACTCATCGCGCAGTCTCGTTAAAACGCGCGGGAAACCACTGACGTCGTCAAGAGTTGTGGGAAGGTTCTGTTCGACGAACCATTTTACGCAATCCTGATTGACTGCGAGAAATTCATCTGGAAATATTTTCGATCGAAAAATGCACTAGAAGAAAGAAAAGGATGGGTAACGTGAGAGTTAGCTGAATTTGGCGGCACAGCCTGATCAGCTGATTGGCAGACGGCGGTTTGGGCGCGAAACATCGGCACGGGAAGCCAATCGCGACACAGTCGAGATAATTTTGCCCGCGTAAGGTGTCAGTGTTTCCTACTCCGTTCTTTAGAACGGTTCCTGGCGTCATTCATTATCGTCGTCGTCTCCTTCGCTGTCGTCATTGTTCCTGAACATCGGAATCTAGTCGAAATCGTGAATTGAGAACATCTCGATAACGATGGCATTGCATGAATCCACAAAAGAAAACATTCGCAAGCACCTAGAGGATGTATCGTTACACGTAAGTCAATTCGTCTCCTTTTTCCTCGTTCCTTCCTCGGACCGAAGTTCTTTTCATTACACACAGCTTTTTCCCTATTTTTCCAGATCGAACATTTTATTACCAGTTTTGTCACATAGCTTCATATCGTCATTATTATCAAATAGCATAAATAGAAAGATCCATCGGTTGTAGGATTTTTTTGCTTCATGATTTGTGTTTAAGACGCAAGAAACGGCTGCGTTTCTTTGAAATAGAACGAGCATGCGGTAGATGAGTGAAATTCCTGATGATTTGAAATTTAGATTAGCAGTTTCACATATCCATCCATATATCAATCAGATATATATAATGCACAAAAAAATATCAGCAGTATTATTTTAATTAAAAAAAATCTTATTTATTTAATAACAGTTAGCTGTCAATGAATCAAATTAAAACAAGAGCATGACATATTTGCATCATTAATAATGTTATGTATTAATAAAATTTTCAATTA